GGCACAGTAGCGTGGCACGTGAAGAGCGTGCCATTCACAACACATAGCATCCAACTCCACCCCATCCTTTCTTTCCCACCGCGCCGTCCTCTCTCCCTCCCACCCACCCTCGCCTCCCACCCATCCTCGCCTCTCCTTCCTACCCGCTGTCGCCGCTCCCTCCTCCCGCCGCCGCTGCTCCCTCCCACCCCGCCGTCCCCTCTCCCTCCGCCGTCGCTCTCCCTCCGCCGTCGCCTCGCCCTCCCCATCGTCTCCTCCCTCCCCATCCCGTCGCCTCCGCTCCCTCCCATCCCGTCGCCTCCGCTCCCTCCCATCCCGCCGTCATCCCCTCCCACCCCGCCGTTGCCTCTCTCACCTACCCTGCCGTCGCCACTCCCTATCCTCTCGCCGTCGTCTCTCCCTCCCATCCCGCCGTCGCCACTCCCTCCCATCCCGCCACCGCCTCTCCCTCTCATCCCGCCGCCGTCTCTCCCTCCCATCCCGCTTCGCCACTCTCTCTCATCCCGCCGTCGCCACTCCCTCCCATCCTGCCGCCGTCTCTCCCTTCCATTCCACCGCTCCTCGCCCTCATCCCCGCAGCGCCACTCCCTCCCGTCCCGCCGTGGGGAGGTTTGAGAGCATGGATAAGGATGGTGCGCGAACGAGAGCTGGTGCGCTAGCGCGGGTTGGTTTTCGAGGCACCGTCATTAGTAGGTTCGTTTATTCCTTCCACCCCTCTGAGATTCCATTGTTTCCTACCTTATTTGTAGTTCCTGCGTTTAGACTTGCCTCGTCTTGCGTTGCACTACCAATTGAAGAGGGGGAGAGAGGGAGCGCGAGGGAGAGCGTTCGCACAGGAGCGAGCACGCAGGGAGTGCGCGTGAGACAGCGTATGTTGAGAGAGAATTAAGAGCTGGAGGGAGCACGAAGCGCGTGTGGGAGAGAGAGGCGGGAGAGAGTGTGTGTGCGCGCTTGCGCCGTTGGCGTGGGTGCCGTGGGCGCTTGCACCTAATCCGCTTGCACTTATGTCGCTTGCGATTAGGGCTCTGCACTGGTGCGCTTGTGGTTAGGGCGTGAGTGTGTGTGAGTGGTTGCAAGAGTGAGTCGAGAGTGTGCGAGAGGGTGAGTGCGGGTGTGAATCTAGGTGCTTGTGTGGGTGTGAGTGCGAGAGTGAGATGCGCGCATGCACACGAGGGTGAGTGCAGTTGTGGGCGGAAGGGCGAGTGCGAGGTTGAATTAGAGAGCAAGCGCATGAGTGCGAGAGTAGTGAGAAGGTGAGTGAGAAAGAAAGTTTGAGAGTGAGTGTAAGTGTGAGTGCGAGGGCGAGTTTGAGGGTGAGTGCGCGCGTGAGTGTGTGTGTGTGTGTGTGTGTGCGAGGTTGAGTGCAAAGGAACACGAGGGTGCGTTCGAGTGTGTGTGAGGGTGAGTGCGAGGACATATGCAAGGGTATGTGTGTGTGTTTTTGTGAGTGTCAAAGAAGAGTTGAGAGTATATTTGTGTGAGTGAAGAGTGAGTGCGAGAGTGTGAGGCCGAGTGAGTGAGTTGGTGGCTGCAATGTTGGGGGCAAGGGTGATCACGGTGTGAGTGTAAGAGTGAGTGCGAGGGTGAGTACGAGTATGTGCAAGAGAAAGTGGGAGATAGAGGGCGAGTAGGACTGCGAGGAATGCGAGCGTGAGTGTGGGCGTGGCTGTAGGTGCGAGTGTGGGCGTGTGTGCGAGTTGAGTTCGAGTGTGCGTGCGGCTGTGTGTGCGTGTGCGTGTTCGAGTGAGTGCAAGGGTAAGCGCGAGCGCGAGTTGGAAGGTGAGTGTGAGGGTTTACGTGTGTGTTTCTGTGAGTGTCTCAGAACGGTTAAAAGTACTTGTGTGTTCGTGAGTGGTTGCAAGCATGAGTGCGAGAGAGTGTGAGAGAATGAGCGCGGGTGTGAGTGCGAGTGAGTGCACGCATGCACTTGAGGGTGCATGCGAGTGTGTGTACGAGGGTGAATGCGAGAGGAAGTGCGAGCGTGAGTGCGAGAGTGAATGCGAAGGTGAGTGCAAGGGTCAGTCTAAGAGCAAGTGTGAGAGTGAGAGTGAGTATGCGTATGAGTGAGAGTGCAAGTGAGTGTGCAAGAGTGAGTGCAAGGGTGAGTGCGAGGGTGCGGGTGTGAGTGCAATGGTAAGAGCGAGGGTGAGAGCGAGGGTACGTGCGATGAGTGCGAAAATGAGTTTGAGGGTGAGTGCGAGGGTGCGTGCAACGGTGCGTGCAAGTGTGCGTGCTAGTGCATGCATGCTTTTTTGAGTGAGTGTGAGAGTGCAGGGAGTGTGTGGTTCTGTGAGCGTGTCTAGCAAAAGTTGGGAGCGATAGTGTGTGCGTGAGTGAGTTGGAAAGTGAGTGCGAGAGTGAGGTGCGAGGATGAGTGTCAGGGTGAAGGCGAGGGTGGCTGCGAGGTATTGCGTGCATGCTGGCATGGTATGTGTGACGACACGATATCTTATACCGAATCACCTTCGTGAGATGTCAAATTTGATTGTTTTCGTCCCTCATCTGTATTTTTTGTACTTCATTCTTCATCAGGGTATTGTTATAACTCTTACCTCGTTTCTTGTGCTCGTGTGGGCTGCATTCCTGTGATTTGTTTCCTGTGCTGTGCAGCTCATGCAAGTTGTATTCTCTTTTGTTTTTGTTTGTGCAGGGAGTGTCAGCTGCATTATCTGTTTCTGCTTTCTTGTCCAAGGAATGTGACTTGCATGCGCTGTTTGTGCTTTCCTGTGCAGGGAGTTCAAGCTGCACTATTTGGTTTTTCTTGTGGAGAAAGGGGAGGGGTTGAGAGAGGGTAAACTGGTACGGGAGGAATAGGGGATATTGGAAGGGAGGGGGGGGGGGGATGGGAGACAAGGGAGGGAGGGAGGGGAATGTGGGACAGGTTAACGGTGATTTATACATGGCTGAACTCATTCGTTACGCTTGCATTTCATGTTCAATAGCGGTAGTATGCCTTTGTGTTTGTTTGCGTGTGAATGTGTAGGTGTGTGAGCGAGCCTGTATGTGTCTGTCCATACATGTTGGTGTTGTTTGTGTCTGTTTTGGGGTTTGGTGTTGAGTGCCTCGTGTATGCAACTCGGGTTGTGATCGTCGGTGGGGCAGCTTTGCTCGCCCCTTCCGCACCGTATCAACCTCTGTTGCGACATCGATGCATTTAGCATTAGCCTTGAAACATTCACAACTGTTAAATGTCCAACGTTATTGTGCAAGTTTGTGTGCTGCCGTTTGTGTCTGTTTCGGGGTTTGGTGTTGAGTGCCCTCGTGTATGCAATTGGGGTTGTGATCGTCGGTGGGGCAGCTTTGCTCGCCCCTTCCGCAGCATATCAACCTCTGTTGCATCATCTATGCATTTAGCAATAGCCTTGAAGCATTCTTAATTGTCCAACGTTTTTTAGCAAGTTTGTGTGTCGTACAGTATCGTCGTTCTTGTGGAGAGATTGTCCAATTATTCCATTCTCCATACTTATCGATGATTATGGATGATGGACACATTTGGTTTCACTTGTACGGTAACTTACGTGAACAGTGATTCCTTCCGGATTTTCTGGAGGGAAATCACTGTTCACATCAGTTCCCCGAAAAGTGAAACCAAATTTATAAGGCTGCTACGCAACCCAAAAGTTTTAAATGTATACCAGAGCAAACGCGTTCTTGGGACAAACGCGTTCACAGCAGGGCTCTCCATACCGTATGTTTCGGGGCAGCGAGTTTGTTGCAGGTTCAGGGCGTGTTATGTAAGGTGTTTTTGGGCTTTGACAAAATTTTGCTCCTCAAATAAGAAAACGTTTGTGTTAACCTGCGAGTAGCAGCACACTCAGTCCCGCCTGAACAAGCTTGGACCAAAGTTGCGAGCAGTAACCTTACCGTCCTACGAAATTCCGATGGCGCTGTGTTGCGGCTCGAATTTGCGAAATAGGTTTTTTCGCAAATAGGGTAGGGGCGATACTCAGATCTCGGGTAACACGTAAACCAGAACTGAAATGTGCATGTGGTGTTTTGCACGCGATTGTACACGAACTCTGATCTGACCCGAAAGTGTCAGACAGAAACGAACTTCATCGGGAAGATTTTCGGATTTAGCACTTGTTACAAAGAGTTATCAGGTGACTGATTCTAAAAATGAATGTCGTCAGAGGTTCATGACACGCCCTCATCTCGATTGCCCCCCTTTGCCTTGCACACAAACCATGATCGTACGCGTTCGTCCATACAAACTACTCCCCGCAAGTCCCGTAGGTTTCGCAACCCTTGTGTCCTCAAGCGCGCTTCTGGTACTAGAAGCGGAAGCTTTTCGCCTTGCACACAACCGCGGGGTTCGAATCCCCCTCGTCCATTAGGAATTGCTGGCTGCACGCTGGGCGCCTCCCCAACGCGTTCCACCTCGTCGATCCATTCGCGTTCCTCCCCGTTCGCGCCAATCATGACGAAAGTCGTCACACCCCTACCAAGACCTTCTCGCGGCCCCGGCGAACACCATCGCCTCCTAAGGTCCACCAGATCCCCGTTTTCGGCGCCCATGCCCCTGAGTTTCCTCTTTTCTCCTCCTCCCCCACACCCTCCCCCCCATCCTTCCCCTTCCCCCCTTCCCCCCCCACTCCCCCCCACCCCCCCCCCCACCCCCTTCGCCTCTCTCGCTCTTTCCGCGACGGAACGCGTTACATGGTCCGCTAGTAGTAGATCAATGTGTGGCCACTCGCATTCAACGCATAAATTGACACCCGGCGCTCCCGAGGGCTCAATCACATTCTCCCGCTCCTCATCGCCCATTGCGTGCCTTCGTCTCCTCCTCAGTCAATCGCGCCTTCTCATTCGCACTTTCTCAGTCGCGCCTTCGAAGGTCCCACCTAATCTCTCCTCGTCGCTACTACCAGCGACGTACTGAGTCTCAACGGTTCAACTCGGGTCCGCAAGTGACTTCTCGCCATTCCGACATCATCGTGATCCCCGTCTTCCGGAGTCATCGCGAAACCGTTTCCCCCGGGCCGACCGCCGCTGTCGCGATGAAGCCCTGCGCGCGCCTGTCCGGCCTGTGTGGCCTCGCCGCTTTCCTCGCGGGTCTCGTGGCCATCATCAGCCTCCCCGCGACCCACGCCAGCGATGACCGTGGCCCACAGCTTGGTGAGTAGGCTCACTGCCACACACCACTGGCAGTAGGCTCATTGCCATACACCACTGGCAGTAGGCTTGCACCACTGGCGTGCGGGTGAGTGCTGGGCGTGCGGGTGAGTGCTGGGCGTGCGGGTGAGTGCTGGGCGTGCGGGTGAGTGCTGGGGGTGCGGGTGAGTGCTGGGCGTGCGGGTGAGTGCTGGCGTGCGGGTGAGTGCTGGGCGTGCGGGTGAGTGCTGGGCGTGCGGGTGAGTGCTGGTGTTTGCGTGAGTGCTGGCGTTTGCGTGAGTGCTGGCGTTTGCGTGAGTGCTGGCGTTTGCGTGAGTGCTGGCGTTTGCGTAAGTGCTGGCGTTTGCGTGAGTGCTGGCGTTTGCGTGAGTGCTGGCGTTTGCGTGAGTGCACACGTTTACAAGCAGAATCTATCTTGTTTTGGCTCACTTCCCTACCTTGCCTCTTTGCTGGTGTGTGTGTCTCGTGCCCCTGCTTTTGAAACCATTTCTGTGCAGGAACGTGTGCCACGTGGCGCTGGGGCTGTGGGAAGGATGCCACGTGCAATGATGATGATAACGTTGTCGGGTGCATCTGCAATGATAAGACTCTTACCTACAATTACGACACCATGACCTGTGATGGTGAGTGTGCTTGTGTGGGTGAGTGTGGGTGAGTGTGGGTGTGTGGGTGAGTGTGCGTGTGTGGGTGAGTGAGCGTGTGTGGGTGAGTGAGCGTGTGTGGGTGAGTGTGCGTGTGTCGGTGAGTGTGCATGTGTGGGTGAGTGTGCGTGTGTGGTTGAGTGCGCGTGTGAGTGCAAGTGTGCGTGTGAGGGCGAGGTTGCTTGTGTGGCGTTCACAGTTCCACCCATCTAACCCGCATTAACCACTTCACCCCGAAACCACCCATGACTTCCTCTGCAGACGCGTGTGTCGGCTGGGACTGCGGGTTAGAGGCGTCGTGCATTGGCACGGGTGCTCCCATTCCTCCGTGTGTGTGCAACAGTAAAGGCTTTACCTTCGTCCAATCTGACAAGACGTGCTTTGGTGAGTGCTGCTAGTGGTGAGTGCTGCTACCGGTGAGCTGTAGGCGATGCATCTCTTGAGATTGAGACACGTCAGCATCTCAGCAGTTCCACATTAGGCAGCGCTGGGAGGCACTGCTGTCGAGGCAGCGCTGGGGGGCACTGCTGTCGAGGCAGCGCTGGGAGGCACTGCTGTCGAGGCAGCGCTGGGAGGCACTGCTGTCGAGGCAGCGCTGGGAGGCACTGCTGTCGAGGCAGCGCTGGGAGGCACTGCTGTCGAGGCAGCGCTGGGAGGCACTGCTGTCGAGGCAGCGCTGGGAGGCACTGCTGTCGAGGCAGCGCTGGGAGGCACTGCTGTCGAGGCAGCGCTGGGAGGCACTGCTGTCGAGGCAGCGCTGGGAGGCACTGCTGTCGAGGCAGCGCTGGGAGGCACTGCTGTTGAGGCAGCGCTGGGAGGCACTGCTGTCGAGGCAGCGCTGGGAGGCACTGCTGTCGAGGCAGCGCTGGGATGGGAGGCACTGCTGTCGAGGCAGTGCTGGGAGGCACTGCTGTCGAGGCAGCGCTTGGAACGTTGACCCCTTCTCACTCCTCCCGCACCTTCCCCTTCTGTCCGCCCTTTGCTCTCCTTTGCCCTGCCCTGCCTCCGACTCCCCGCCTTCAAACCTCCACCGTTCGTTGCACAATCTCCACCAGCCACGACTTGCCACCGTCTCAACGGACGCTCAGCCCCATTGGTGCGCACGGCAGTGCAGATCAAAGGCCTCCGCAGCCCGCTCATGATCCTCACCTTCTCCACTCCTCTCGCACCTTCCCCCCTCTCTGCCCTCTTCCTCTCCTTTCCCCTGCTCAGCCCCCTTGGTGCGCACGAGGCTGCAGATCAAAGGCCTCCTGAGCCCGCTCATGAACCTCACCTTTTTCCTGTCTTCCCCATTCCTCACCTCAACGGATTACAATGCTCAGCCCCGTTGGTGCGCACGACGGTGCAGATCAAAGGCCTGCTCAGCCCGCTCATGAACATCACCTTCTCCACGGACGGGCCGGCAGAGCAGCAGGCCAGCGGCACCACGGCGTGCAGCAACGTGGGGCAGAAGATCTACAGCGAGACCGACATCACCGTCGTATGGAACGCAACTAACCCAGCCGCCAATCCCACCTCAAACCCAAACTCACCCTCGCTGCAAGACGCCGCGGCTGGCGCTGCCATGTGCAAGAGCCTGTTGTTCTACTCGGGGCTGTGGTGCGAGGAGGATGTGGAGTTGACTCTCGCGCGTCCTCGTCCCGTGAAGCGCGGCCGTACCACTGCGTACCCCGTCACGAAAAAGTGAGTGAGTTTTGAGACGTCTCAAAAACACCCTCGTTTGACGCGCCTGGCGCCGCCATGTGCAAGAGCGTGTCGTTCTACTCGGGCCTGTCGTTCTACGTGGAGCTGACGCTCGCGCGCCCACGTCCTCTTCCTACCCGTGTCACTGCCCACCCCATCACGAACAAGTGAGTTTTGGGACGTCTTAACACGTCCTGCAATGCGCAGCCGTGTCACTGCCCACCCCATCACGAACAAGTGAGTTTTGGGACGTCTTAACACGTCCTGCAATGCGCAGCCGTGTCACTGCCCACCCCATCACGAACAAGTGAGTTTTGGGACGTCTTAACACGTCCTGCAATGCGCAGCCGTGTCACTGCCCACCCCATCACGAACAAGTGAGTTTTGGGACGTCTTAACACGTCCTGCAATGCGCAGCCGTGTCACTGCCCACCCCATCACGAACAAGTGAGTTTTGGGACGTCTTAACACGTCCTGCAATGCGCAGCCGTGTCACTGCCCACCCCATCACGAACAAGTGAGTTTTGGGACGTCTTAACACGTCCTGCAATGCGCAGCCGTGTCACTGCCCACCCCATCACGAACAAGTGAGTTTTGGGACGTCTTAACACGTCCTGCAATGCGCAGCCGTGTCACTGCCCACCCCATCACGAACAAGTGAGTTTTGGGACGTCTTAACACGTCCTGCAATGCGCAGCCGTGTCACTGCCCACCCCATCACGAACAAGTGAGTTTTGGGACGTCTTAACACGTCCTGCAATGCGCAGCCGTGTCACTGCCCACCCCATCACGAACAAGTGAGTTTTGGGACGTCTTAACACGTCCTGCAATGCGCAGCCGTGTCACTGCCCACCCCATCACGAACAAGTGAGTTTTGGGACGTCTTAACACGTCCTGCAATGCGCAGCCGTGTCACTGCCCACCCCATCACGAACAAGTGAGTTTTGGGACGTCTTAACACGTCCTGCAATGCGCAGCCGTGTCACTGCCCACCCCATCACGAACAAGTGAGTTTTGGGACGTCTTAACACGTCCTGCAATGCGCAGCCGTGTCACTGCCCACCCCATCACGAACAAGTGAGTTTTGGGACGTCTTAACACGTCCTGCAATGCGCAGCCGTGTCACTGCCCACCCCATCACGAACAAGTGAGTTTTGGGACGTCTTAACACGTCCTGCAATGCGCAGCCGTGTCACTGCCCACCCCATCACGAACAAGTGAGTTTTGGGACGTCTTAACACGTCCTGCAATGCGCAGCCGTGTCACTGCCCACCCCATCACGAACAAGTGAGTTTTGGGACGTCTTAACACGTCCTGCAATGCGCAGCCGTGTCACTGCCCACCCCATCACGAACAAGTGAGTTTTGGGACGTCTTAACACGTCCTGCAATGCGCAGCCGTGTCACTGCCCACCCCATCACGAACAAGTGAGTTTTGGGACGTCTTAACACGTCCTGCAATGCGCAGCCGTGTCACTGCCCACCCCATCACGAACAAGTGAGTTTTGGGACGTCTTAACACGTCCTGCAATGCGCAGCCGTGTCACTGCCCACCCCATCACGAACAAGTGAGTTTTGGGACGTCTTAACACGTCCTGCAATGCGCAGCCGTGTCACTGCCCACCCCATCACGAACAAGTGAGTTTTGGGACGTCTTAACACGTCCTGCAATGCGCAGCCGTGTCACTGCCCACCCCATCATGAACAAGTGAGTTTTGGGACGTCTTAACACGTCCTGCAATGCGCAGCCGTGTCACTGCCCACCCCATCACGAACAAGTGAGTTTTGGGACGTCTTAACACGTCCTGCAATGCGCAGCCGTGTCACTGCCCACCCCATCACGAACAAGTGAGTTTTGGGACGTCTTAACACGTCCTGCAATGCGCAGCCGTGTCACTGCCCACCCCATCACGAACAAGTGAGTTTTGGGACGTCTTAACACGTCCTGCAATGCGCAGCCGTGTCACTGCCCACCCCATCACGAACAAGTGAGTTTTGGGACGTCTTAACACGTCCTGCAATGCGCAGCCGTGTCACTGCCCACCCCATCACGAACAAGTGAGTTTTGGGACGTCTTAACACGTCCTGCAATGCGCAGCCGTGTCACTGCCCACCCCATCACGAACAAGTGAGTTTTGGGACGTCTTAACACGTCCTGCAATGCGCAGCCGTGTCACTGCCCACCCCATCACGAACAAGTGAGTTTTGGGACGTCTTAACACGTCCTGCAATGCGCAGCCGTGTCACTGCCCACCCCATCACGAACAAGTGAGTTTTGGGACGTCTTAACACGTCCTGCAATGCGCAGCCGTGTCACTGCCCACCCCATCACGAACAAGTGAGTTTTGGGACGTCTTAACACGTCCTGCAATGCGCAGCCGTGTCACTGCCCACCCCATCACGAACAAGTGAGTTTTGGGACGTCTCAACACGTCCTGCAATGCGCAGCCGTGTCACTGCCCACCCCATCACGAACAAGTGAGTTTTGGGACGTCTTAACACGTCCTGCAATGCGCAGCCATGTCACTGCCCACCCCATCACGAACAAGTGTGTGAGCGCGATGCACGCGGCATGTGTGGTTTGTTGCTGCTCTGCTCTTCCAGCATATTGTGCGACCCTCTTCTATCACCGGAATTCGCTTCACCGTTTGTCGTGCACAGTGAATGTCCTCAATCGCACTCAATGCATGTCTTCCCCATCCTTTCCTCTCCCTCTCTCAGGTATATCAAAGACATTTATTTGGTGCAATCAGTTGGCTGCGAGATCAGTAAGTGCGAGCGCATGCATGCATGTCTAGACTGTGTCACGTACATATTATGAATGATCTTACAAGCTACCGTACAATAGAGCGAGACACACCCAACCTCTTTGTCCATGATTCTTTCCTTCGCTCCTATCTTCTGCATATCAGACAGTAGCATGTGTTCTGCTTATTCTTATGGCTACCATAAGTTAAAGCGCGACTCACCCACCCTCTTTGCCCGTGATTCTTTCTCCACCTCCCTGTGCCTGAAAAACTTTTTCTTACCCCTTTCCTCCATATGTCTGGTTTGTTTGTCCCTATGTCTTGGTGCCCACAACAGCCACGTGCCACAAGGATTGTGGAGCTGCTGAGTGCGTTGTGAAGGACGGCCAGCAGCAGTGCCAGTGCCCCGAGGGCTTCGTGTTCAACGCAACCAAGAAGACCTGCCGCGCTCCTCCTCCTCGTAGGTGCCTTGCTCGTCTATTGTGGGTTGTAGGTTTGCCTTTGCCAACAATAGAACACCAGCTTGGGCAACAGTTCTTGCATGCAATATGAAAGGCCATCTGCCAGTGTTACCCGCTCGCTCTCGTTCTCCCTGCCTGCTGCCAACTCAGCCTCATGCTCTCTCCCCTCATGCTCTCTCCCTTATCCCCTCTCCCCTCTCTTGTCTCCCCTCTCCCCTCTCCCCTCTCCCCCACCCTCCACCTGCCATCAACGCCAGCCAAGTGCAGGCCTGCCTGCACTGGTAATGCCCAGTGCAAGTGGGTCGGAGGAAAGCCGTTGTGTCAGTCGAAATGGTGAACAAGATGTGCACATGTAAGAGGGAGAGGGATAACTGCTTGCTCTGCTTTGTACATTGCTCTCTTCCAAGCCGCTGCAGCTAGCTTATCCACTCCCACCACCTCCACTGCCCAGATACAAATTTTGAGGCGCCTCAAGAATCACCTCCAACCCCCAGTGACACCCAGTGACACCCAGTGACACCCAGTGACACCCAATAACAACCTGCGTGTTACTTTCTGATCTTCCTTGTAGTGTCTGCATTCTGCCGCGCTCTCTTCCAGGCCGCTGCAGCTAGCTTATCCACTCCCTCCCACCACCTCCACTGCCCAGACACACCCATGAGCAACCCATGTGTCACTTTCTGATCTTCCTTGTATCGTCTGCTTTCTCACCTCACTTGTTACGCTGTTGCCTGCCCTCCATTTGCCCCCTCTCTTTGCAACGAACACATGGAGCTTATTTATGATCAAGTTCAAGATGAAGGAGCTGGTAGACAAGGGAGGGCAGGACAGGCAACCCTTGCTCAACATGAAGGAGGCAGAAGCTGGAAGTGCCAGCAGGATACCGAATGGTGGGGGGGGCTGATGGATTAAAGGTGCGAGCAACTGCATGCGGTTGCTCGGAGGCCAGGAACCAATGTGGCTGACGGTAGGCCAAGTCACTCTGTGAGTGTGGTGCCGATACCGTAGGAGTGGCATTACAAGTGTGTGTAGGTAGGTGCTGGTCTGTTGTACCATGTGGTGTGGACTTCTTTTTACTCGTTTGTTATACCTCTTGGGCTTTTTTGTTTGTGTTTTGTACTGCAATCCACTTTTTTGCTAATTTATGTATGCCTGGTTTTTTACTTGTAAGCACCTCGATTGGACTACACTGGTATTACAAGCCGCCAAGCTGCTGAAGAGTCCGTGCAGGGCCTCTAAGGGCGAGCGCGAGGCCGTTGTGGGCCTCTAGGGGCAAACGCGGGGCCGTTCGAGGCCTCTAGGTACGAGAGCGCGGGGCCGACGGGGCCTCTAGGGGCGTGAAAGCCGAGGTGCCCTAGGGCGTAGGTAGGTAGGTAGGTAGGTAGTGGTGGGCCCTAAAACATCGGTCCTAGGAAGGACCTGCTCTATACCATGTTGAACAAGAATGAATGAACTAACAGTGAAAATGAGTACAAGTAGGAAACCCTAGAAATGTGTACCCCCTATAGGCTAACCCATTGTAGCCTAAATAACTACAACAACATATATAATGTTTGACAATAGCCTACTTGCTTGCACAGTTCGACAAAACCGCTGGTGTAATCTTGAACCGACCCGAGCTGCCGCCAAGTACGTAGTCTCTGATGCGCCGAAATAGAAGTTGTGATCGGCTCGTAGCGCGCCCGAAGCCCTGCGCACCACGCATCCCACATGCTATACTGGGCGGTTTTGCAGAACAAGCTCCAGGTAACGGCTGGACCCATCGGCCCTTCCTCTTGCGGCGGCGGCTCGTAGGCGCGTGGCGACGTCACAATGACTCGCCACCAGTCCATGGCGGAGCCCCTTAACAGCGAGACCGCAGAGCAAATCTTCGCTGCGTCCGACTCGATGTAATTCGCGTCAAAGAAGACATTCATCGTGAAGACCCACGACTGAACCGTCGGACTTCCACATTGGCTCAGAACGAAACACGGCGGGCGCTGCGGCTTGAGTGGCATTGGTGCCATCATGGCGTGGTCACCACTTGTCGCTGCGAATTCCACGTGCCGACGGGCTTCGAGAGGCTCCCGCGGGCTTGGCGCGGCCCTGTTCCTCTTCATGCCAGGCATTGATTGAGCGCCGCCATCACTGGCTGCGCCTGAGCGCTGTCCCTCGCTGTCGTTTTGTGTCGGTGTGCCTGATGAGATGACGATCGGCTCATCAGACTGTGCGGGTGCATTTGCAGGTTCGTGTGGTGGTGCTGTTGCATTCACCGTGGATTGCTGACGAGCGGAATCAGAGTTGCGTACCGCCGTGAGTGTTGCAATTTCGAGCGCCGAATCTTCGAGTTGGCGCACGAGACAGTCCATTTGCCCCAAGTTATCACCAGTGTTGGCCTAAGAGGCCACGTAAACAAGACGAAGCTGACCATGCTGTTGCAACTCTCGAGCAAGGAAGTAGCGCAGAGCGATGTGCTTTGTTTTGTGCTCTAGTCTGTGCTCCTGACACAAGGCAATCATGGCCTTGTTGTCGACGTACAGAACTGGAGGAGAACGAGGCGCCTCTCTCAAGTCGGTCAGTAGGTAGGTGAGCCAGCATAACTCCTATGCAGCCATGGCCCCTGCGTAGATCTCAGCCTCAGAGCTGGAGCTGAGAACACAAAACGAGCAGGTAAACCGCCACGAAACAGAATCGGAGCCAAGGCTGAAGGTATAACCCTGTGATGATCGCTGCATAGCCAAGTCGTCAACCTAAGAAGCGTCTGCGTGACCAATGAGGACAACTCGAGCCCGTCCTCCAAGCACGAGCCCCATGCCCGATGTACTCCACAAGTAACGCATCACCCTCTTAGCGGCCTTCCAGTGCTCTGGTCGGTGTCTCCTAGGCGCAATGTAGCGTGTGTGGATACTAAGAGGGTAAGCAAGGTCAGGACGAGTGCAGGTCATCAAGTACATGAGGCAGCCCACAAGCTCTGGATACGGGCCACTCGGCTCTACGTACTCATCCGAAGGCAGAGATGAGAGCGAGTGACCGGTAGGCAGAGGAGTGGTTTGTGGCGAGTACTGGAAGTCGAAGCGCTGAAGGACCTGTTGCACCATGCGTGACTGGGTCAAGGTAATGGTGCGCCGTGCTCTGTCTCGGGTGATCTGCGCAGCTCACCCAGGTCTGGGCACGTATGTCTCGTCTGCAGCTCCGAATTCACGTGGGCCAGTCCAGCAATGTCACTAGTGGCAAAGACCAAGCTGTCAATGTACACGAGGATGTAGAACAGTGGCAGCGAAGTGTCGGGGCGTAGAAACAGCGATGGGTCAGCAGTAGAAGGAGCAAACCCAAGAGCGCAAGAGTCATCCTCAGTGTGTCGTGCCACTCACGAGGCGCCTGGCAAAGACTGTAGACTGGCCGCCGGAGGCTCCACCGGGTACCTGCAGGAAACGACCCAGTGAAGCCAGGTGGGCGGCGCAGCCAGATCTCCTCGTGGAGGCTGCCCTGTAGGAAAGCAGTGCTGAAGTCAAGAGAGTGAAGCTCGTAGTCACACTGAGCGGCGACGTGCAGCAGAACCCGAAGAGTGGTTATCTTCGAGGTAGGGGAGAAGGTCTGGAAGAAGTCAACTCCCTGTCCCTGAATAAAGCCTCGTGCAATGTAACGTGCCTTGGAGACAGGCGGAGAACCCGGCGGCCGCTTCACCCTGAAAATCCACATGCCACTGACGATGTTCGTCCCATGAGGGGGAACCTCGTCGGCGTAAGTGCCTGTGGACTTCCAGGATGCCATCTCTGCGTCCATGGCTGACTGCCACTAAGAGGAGTAGGGACACTCTATCGCCTCTGCGTAAGAGCGCGGGGTTGGGATGTCTGGTGCATCTGGGTCTCCCTCAAACGCAATCAGCATGGACACGAGATGAGGTACAGCATCTGAATAACACTCAAAGTCCTCCTGCCTGTCCTCAAGGACGTCCGCGCCAAGAGCACACTCACCCCCGACGGACGGAGGACAGACAAACTCTGACTTAGCAACAAGACTAGTGGCGTAGTCGAGACGACAGCGTGCAGCAAAGTCGACAAGCTCAGCAACTAAGGCAGACGCAGGAGTGGACTCAAAGGAAGGGTCAGTGACAACAGTAGCAAGCAGACGCGTGACAGTAGGGCTGGCAGCACGAAGTGAGTCAGACTCGGGGTCCGGACCGTCAACAAGGGAGGACGCAGGAGGAGACGGCAGAGGGATACGCAGTGGAACAGAGGAAGGACGAAGTGTCATCTGGTGCATGCCGGGGATAGGAGGGCGCTGACGTGGAACACGATGACCAGTGCGAGCAGCGTGAACAGGCAACGCATGACGAGACTCAGGCTCACAACGCTCCACAAGACCTCCGGTCGGCCCAGTGTAAGGAGAAGGACCAAGCACTGGGGAGGGTAGCTGTAACTGCGACTGCAATTGGTCAGGCGGTGGACACAGTAAGGGAGGAGTAGGACCAGTAGGAGGGTGGGAGACCAAGAACCTGCTGAAGGAGTGGAACGAAGTACGGCCGTGGCTGCACAGCGCCGCCAGAACCAGTAGAGTCAGCACTAGTACCCCCAGCTCCAGGGTCTCCAGTTCCAACTTCTGCAGCACCACCAGCTCCAGCACCTCCAGCTCCAACAGCTCCGGTACCTCCAGTACGAGCACCTCCAGGACCAAGGCCTCCAGCACCTCCAGCATCTCCAGCACCAGCAGTACCTCCAGCGCCAGCAGCACCTCCAGCGGTAGGCCCCCCAGCTCCAGTAGCACGGCTCGAGCGCCAAGCAAACCACTCGCGCAGCTGCAGTGGAGAGAGTGGCTCCCGCCATGACAAGACACCCGTAGGACCTCCAGAGGACAAAGTACCTCCAGGCTCAGCACGCTCGCGCTCACCACCCCCTGGCTCCGCATGCTCAGGCTCAGCACCCTCAGGCTCCGCACCCTCAGACTCAAGAACCCAAAGCTCAGCACCCCCAGGCTCCGCACCCTCAAACTCAGCAACCCCAGGCTCAGCAACCCCAGGCTCCGCACGCTCAGGCTCAGCACCCCCAGGCCCCGCACCCGCAACCTCAGCACCCCTAGCAGCACCAGAGTCGACAGCTACCTCAACAGGCTCGACAAGGTCTACCTAGGACACACCTGAGGGGGCAGGACCCTGAGGGGGGAGGGGGTCTACGGAAGGAGGACCTGGTGCTAGGAAGAGTGGCGGGGGGGGGAGAGGGGCAGTGCGGTTGGGGAAGAGACGGTAGTAAGGAACCGACTCGTCAACGTGACGTCCTGAGAGGACAGAACACGACGCGAGGGGGGGTGGCAAAACTGCCAACCAGGCGCGTCAGGGGGGAAGCCAAGGAAGACGCAGGGAACACCACAGAAGGAGAGCTTGTCTGCAGAAGATTCGCAGACAAAAGCTCGAGATCCCCAGACACGGAACACCAACGCATCACCAACCTTGCTCGTCCACCACAGAGCAGGTGTGGTCTCCGGCATGGAGACACAGGGCTGGAGTTTGAGCTGATGCGCAGCGTACTGAACCGCGAACAGCCACAGAAAATAAGGAAGCCAGAAGCGTTAACGTTTTGCGGATGCTCTCCGCACGACAGAAGGCCCTCAAAAGGTCAGAGGAAAACTCTCCACCTCTGTCGGAGTGCAGACGCAAAACAGGAAGGTCCGAGTCGAAACTCTCGCTGATCTGGCAACGAGCAGCGCGGATCCAAGTGACCAGCACCTCAGTGACCTCACACTTGCGGCGCAAGGGGAAGACTGTGGTGTAACGCGAGTAGTCATCAACGACCAGCAGAAGTAACGCGCGTGACCCTATCCACGGACGCGGGCTGGGCCCCACACGTCCATGTGGAGAGTCTGCACAGGACCCTCCGTCTGAGGGAACTCGGAGGAGTGAGGAGCGGCGCACTGCCGTCCCTCGACGCAAGG